GGAGCTCCCACCCTCTGGAATGAACTACCCCCAGAGATCAGGGTGATCCCTGATCTCCCTTCCTTCCGCCGCGCCCTTAAGACATGGTTATTCCAGCTTGCGGGACTGGCCTAGGGGAAAACTTTTAGAGGGGGTTTTAATTATAATTTTAATTAGACCAATTATGAATATTTCCCTTTTAATCAACTTTTAAATTTGTAGTTTGATATTTTTGTATTTTTTGTATTTTTATCCGGTTGTTAGTCGCCCTGAGTCCGCAAGGAGAAGGGCGGGATATAAATTTAAAAAATAAATAAATAAAATAAATACCCGATTAGGGAATAGGATAAAACAGACATCCTTCCCTGAACAAAATGGACTGTAGAGAGTCCTGAAATTCCTGAAGGGTTGGTTGGCGAGCTTTCTCAATCCTCTAAAACGGGTAGGCAACCTTGGCTCTTTTATGACTTGTGCACTTCAACTCCCAGAATTCCTGAGTCAGCATGGCTGGCTCAGGAATTCTGGGAGTTGAAGTCCACAAGTCATAAAAGAGCCAAGGTTGCCTACCCCTGCTCTAAAATATGATCCATTGTCAAAAGAACATGAAAGAAAGCTAAGAGCTGCTTTTATTAAAACACACACACACACACAAAGCCATATCATCCTCCCTACCTTTTGTGTAGTCAACAACCGCCTCCAAAGCTGCTATTCGAATATCTACAAAATGGCCGTATTCTGCATAAGATTTAAAGACAGCAGAGTCACTTGGGACATGGCCATTCTTCTGCAGGATCCGAATTGCATTTAAACAGCTGCGAAGGAAAGATATGGGGAAAAAGAAAACTGCTGTAAAATCCAAATTTATAGTAGCCTCTGGAAATTTAAAAAAAACAACAACACGTGTTTCGGCTTGACCAAAACAAACGGAAGAGTATCATAATTTATGAATGATGGAAAATTCATTATGGCTGGTCTGCAATTTACAACGCTAAGCAATATGGCAGTAATGCACAACTGCACTGCTTAGTGGTGGCAATACCTGCAGTCCTGGCTGTTGTCATCTACCAGATCCCACAGTTGTTAAGTGAGACAGCTTTCCTTCAACCAAAGTCAATGGGGAAGCCGGCAGCAAGTTGCAAATGCCGGGCCAGGAGAGAAGTAAGTGACTGCTGATGGGTAGCAGAGGATTTTTTTAAAAGATTATTTAAATCTTCATTTATTGGGCGACAATAGAAATAATCCCTTTGATTTTTGACTCTGTGCTCGTGCCTTCAGTACTTTGACAACAATCTTCTGTTGCTCGATAAGGAATGCTCGCTTGATTCTGTCGTGAACACCTTTAGCACACATCGAACCTCCACAGGCTCTACTAACGTGTTTCTTTGTTTTGGAAAGTCTCATAAGAACTTTTGGTCGAACAGCGTGGACAGCACGAAGTCTTCCTGGGCACACACCACATGCAGACTTTGGTGCCTTGCCCACTTTCTTAGTATAAAGATAAACAATCCTATTACCAGGTGTCCTGGACAGTCTGGTCTTGTTTTAGAGGCTTTATTGTAGGACAGCCTACGCCGGTATGTCAGACCGTTGGACCATTTTCAGTGCCTTAAGAGGGCGCGTGCACCGGATGAGCGGGTAGCAGAGGAAGCAAGGGGATGTTCAGCAGTGCAGGGAACATTGCACAAGAGAGCAAGGCAGGGTGTGAAGAGGTGCATAAGAGACATAGCACGAGTCAGTGTATGAGAGACATGGTGGGGGTCCTGGGTGTAAGGAGGCAAACAAGAGAGGTGGTACAGTTTGGGTGTGCAGAAGAAGTGTAGCATATGACAGGTATGCAAGGGGATGTGCAAGAGGCGTGGCATGGGCTGAGCACATGGGGAGGTGCATGAGAGGCCAGTGTGGTATTGAAGCAGATGTTTGACGAGGTACCCTAACCTGTTCCCAGGGGGTGCGTAGGCGGTGACACCGTATAGTGGAATTATATATACAGTATGAGTGCAGAAAGGCTGGAGAAGAATGCATTGGGTGGGGGAGACTTATCCCAGCAACTTCCGCTTTTCCTGCTGGCTTTCCCATTGACTTTCTGGGGAAGCCAGCAGGGAAAAGTGCAAATCGTGATCAGGTCATCATGGAGGCTGAAACTGATTGTAAGTGTAAACTGCCAATCACCTAGATCCTAATCACATGACCATAGGGATGCTGGTATGGCCAGAATTTTGCAGACCAATTTTGCAGACATTCATTCAGCGCCATCATAACTTCAAAGGGTCGATAACTACCTATAATTAATTCTTTAAGTTGTGTCTAGTATAATCTTATAGAAGTGTGATGTTAATTTTTGAATTTTAATTTTTTTTATTTCGTTATCCAATGTAGCATGGACTCATCTATAATACGAAAAACTTTGTAAACAAAATGGAGATAACCATATATCAGAATCTTTAGGTCCTGTGGCTTTTTATTTTTCTCTCTTCTTTTTGTGTTCCCATGACATGAGATTCCCCTCCTGATCTAGGCTTGCCAAGAGACTGTTCTGTGTCACAAACAGCCTGGACAGGAACATATTTTACAATTGTACAGACTGCTACTCAAAACACTCTTAACTGACCATCATAAATTGTAATCTTGCGCTTCTATCACAGCTTATATAGAAAATAACGTTAAATAACTACCGCACAAATGTTTTTAATAATGCTTATTCGTTACTTTTTTCTCAAGACAGTTTTTTTCTGGAAAAAAAAATCTAGTCACCTATTAAATCTCTGCTTGACTCTTGTACATTTACTGATAAATATCAGAACATTGGTGCAAGATTTGAGTGACTGAATCGAGATTAACTGCCCAGCAGTACAAAGTTAAGGGGGGGGGAGAAGAAATTCATCTAACTTTCTTTCAGATTTAGATTTCCCGAAAATCATAATATTTCTATATCGTACCTGACTGTAATTGTGTGTCTGTAACTGGGTAGCAGTTTTTCCATGTTTAAGAATCGGGTAATCTCTTCAAGAATAAGGCGTATATCAGGATTTAAATTGTCCAAAGTCCGGGCTTCATTGTTCACACTAACTGCTGGAGTGACAGAGTTTGCTAGTGCATCAATCAGTTCTGCCCGGTAATAGTTGTCTGAAAACTAAAATCAAAGACCGAAAGATATTAAGATGCAGTGCAGAGTATTACAAAGAAAAGCATTTGCCGGACACATTCCATTAAACTGACTGCTCTAACCAAGGAAATGAACCATCAGCACAGGAAAACCATAATGTCCAAATTGAATTTATGCACAAAGAAACTACTTGCGGGGCTGAACCCAAAGAACTTATTTATTTTATACCCCATATTCCAGCAATTGGCCGACACTAAAAATGCATGCAATAACAAGTCACGACAATTTTATGCCAACAATAAAATGCAACAAAACAGCTTTAAATTGTAACACTAGATCATTTGAAATAGCAG